ATAGGATCATATTAAGGATATATTAATATAATGTAAAAAAAGAAAAACTAAAATAAATTTTCAAAATGTTCTCCCATTGAATCAATACAGATTTGAAGGCAACATTTGAAGTGTTGATGAACCCAATTAAGAAAATTGACATTTCCAAAATTATCTTAATATATCCTATCTTTCCAGACTTTATGGCCACCCTGTAGGTTTTTATGCATAAACTCCTGGTGTAGAGAGAGCAACAGATACCCAACAAGTACTTTTCTTGCAAGATACTTAATAGTCACTGAATTCCACATCCTTCCAGGGATTGTTTTTTTTTTTTTTTACAGTTAATTCATATAATATTGATATTTGCATCATAATTTCTCAAAAGTTCCACTAATCATCTGATTATTTTTCTCTCAGAATGCACAGGTATCCCATCCTTAACTCCTTTGTATGTGAGCTGAGTTTGAGGAAATCCTACAAAGCCAAAACACTCCACAACCTCTGACAAACATGCCAGTTCAAATCAGGCAGACAGGGTAACTAGAGCCTCACTCGCAAACATAGGTGCCCTTGGGTATGGCCTCCAGGGTCTTCACACCCCAGCCCTTGGATCCAGTTTTGTACAGCTCCATCTGAATCATGATTCCCCTTTGGAACACTCGATTTCTACACAGCTTCACATGACACTGACAGGCTCGGTTGCACTCAAACAGGAGGGGAGGATCTGTAAAGGACCAAAACATAAAATTGAAATTTACACAATACAGAGGACATGTTATGTATGGGTATTAGCTAATGAAGCACACAGCAAATGGAACCTACCTGCATAGTTAAAATCAGGCAGCAAACGTCCTTCATCATCATACCAACAGCGTATAGAGAATGCTGCACACTGACACTCGGCACTGCTGCAGTCCCCATCGCAACTGCAAAACTGGTACCATTCCACTCTCTTGTGAGAAATGAACAGCCTTGAGGGTTCATCTTCAGATTAGAACCAGCACACTCACGATCTGGATGGATGATATGGTGCGATTCACATGGATGCTAGGCGTTTCCAGATTCTCTGTCATGTACTTGTAATCCTTCGGCAGGGGCTCATCGTCGACCTCGTTCACACACTGGACCGGGATGCGTTCCTTACCACGACTGATATCACTGCAACAGGATGATCCAGGTGATCTCAATATCTGGGGGAAAAAGAAGGCAGTAAACATGGCAAAAGCAGAACTAACTTAGATAGGATGCGGTACTCCAGTCTCCTATTATTCCCTTGCCCCATGTTCCTCAGCTTTCTCAGTTCTTGATTGAGATAGAGAAGCTGGTATGTCTGAGATGTGGGAGGCAAGTAAGAGGCACAATCTAGAGGCAACTGTCCGTCCTTGTTGCGGACATCCAAGCGTGCGTCTTTCAAGAGGAGCAGGAGGACGCAATCGGGGTGGTCTCTTCGGGCTGCTATGTGACTGAAGAAGACGATTGAGAAAGCAGGTGTCTCATTAGACATCAAGAGTGACAACAGACTCAGCACTCTTCCTTGGGGAAAAGGTAGAAGGTGCAACTCACACAGGTGTATCTCCATGAAGGTTGGGGAGATTCGGGAAGCAACCCATCCGGAGACATATGGATGCAATGTCAGTAGAACCAGAGTAGGCAGCCCAATGAAGAGCAGTGTTCCCTTCCATGTCACATATTTGAGGGTCTGCTCCCTGTTGCAATAAGAACCTGCACAGCGAAAAAAAATGACACCATGTGTTATATGCCAATTCCAATAACTATAGAAGCCTAAATGCTGGGCTATCAATAAACCATGAGGTCACCTGGTGACTTTACGATGCTTGTTCTCGGCTGACCAAACCAGAGGAGTCCATCCTCCATAATCCTGATTGTTGATTAGGGACCGTGGATCTGAGCAAAGATTCAGGAGCAGGTAACATGCTTCAAGGTGTCCACTACGTGCTGCCAGATGCAGAGCAGTCATTCCATCTTCTCCCTGGTTGAGGAAACCATTCAAGGACTTTCATGGCATACAAGGGCAAGAAGAATGGGGACTAAAATGGGGATCGCTCTGCTCCTACCCTCAAGTACACCGATGCACCGGCGCAGAGAAGGTATCGGATGCAAGAAGCATGGTTGAGATCAGCTGCTAGCATGAGGGGAGTCTGCATGTGTTCATCCCTTGCATCCAGCAATGCCCCTGCCTGGTGCAAGAGGGCAACTGTGACCACTCTCCCAGCTTTCACAGCTCCATGTAGTGGAGTCTTTTGCTGTGCCTTTTCACATTTTTCAATTCTTCCATCCAAATTCATGCCTTGAGCTGAAAAACAATCAGTTGTGGGGTGAGGATTGTCGTACTGATGTGCAATGGACTCGTGTGCATGGAATGCTACTGGAATTTCAAAAACATGTTTCACCTAACAATCACTTTTGCACAAAAAAAAAATAAAAACTCTATTATGATTTGCAATATCCACCAACCACATCCTTCATATGAAGGTGTAGCTGTTGCACCTGTGTGAAGGATACTTACTTGGATGATTGAGCATATCAATCATGGATCAGCATAAGAAAAATCCAAAGCAAAAATGAGGTAAACAATACTCTAATTTTCACTTACATATGCAATAAAGAAGCTTCTCATTCTCTCCATCAGATGCGAATTGGTACAGGTCAGGTGACTCCAACCTAAGATGATCACAAATTCATTGAATCATGAGTTAAATCACTTCATCAGTCGGGACATATTGAACTCGGTGAGAATCTTTTCCTCCTTGTTAAAGCATATTGATAAAAAAAAAAGGGTCCAACAGCAGTGGTAAAAGTCTATTAGTGAGGTGAGACATCTTCACCTGAATTGATAGGCAAAAAAGGCGAGGCAAACTCACTTCATTTCTTTGTATGACTGAGTTTTAAGTGCCTCAATCAGCTTTTTCAGGTCTTCAGCTGCAGAAGGGTCATCAGGTCCCCAAGGAATGTTATCCAGAGAAATCTTAATCCCCTGCTCTGGAATGGAGTATGCCACTCCATGCTCGTTCACCGGAATGACAGGCCAAGAGGGAAGATCTTTGGGATGACCCTCTTTCTTCTCTCCCTTCACAAATGTCATAGGTCCCCAGTTCCTGAGAGGAAAGTAAAACATGGAAAGCCCAAAATTGCTTATCTGACTCTAGACCCAATACCTATGAACTTCAAGGTCTTCTAGTAGACTCACCTAATTTTAGGAGGAGCTTGCTGTGGATAGAAAACCAGATTTCGCAAAGTGCGTAGCTCCAGACGCACGCCCTTCACGGTCTCTGTCTCCCCACAGTGAAGACAATAAAAGGGCTCCTCTTGGTCCTTCCTCTCTATGGTTCCTCCACATTCTTTGTGAAAAAAGTGCATTTCCTTTCCAGTACCATTTTCCTTTTCACACTTCCAAAAGTGTCCCTGTGGATGAAAGATGGGAGGCATTCAAGAGAACTGCAGCAATCTTGAAGATATCATCTCCTGATGGAAACAGCAGTATTCAAAATTTTATGAAAAGGCTGACCTGAGTACAAAAAAGTCCACACGACGGACAGCACTGATGCAGATGTAATCTTCGGCGATGCACTTCACAGAAGGTGAGATAGGGAATTCGAGAATGAGGTCTGAGTAGCTCCGGATTCTTCACAACATTCCGACACCCAACGATCTTGTCGTCCAGGGAATCCCTAGCACTGCAGAAGATGGTCTGCCCAGATTTGCTCTCCTCAGAGTAGGCCATCAGGTGCTCCTTCCCTGCACAGCAGCACTTCTGGTCCTTGCCCCAGATCTGCAATGTATCACTCTTCTTCAAGAAGGAAGAACAAGAGTGCAACACAGCTTCAAACAACAAGACCAAAAAAAAAGCTAATCCTGGAAGAAAAATACATCACTTCAAAGAAGTGAAGTGGAAATATCATTTCAAGACCAATATATCACTTGAAACTTGGTCTGAACAGCAGAATAATACAATATAATATGATAAAATATAATATAAAAAATATAAAGCATCTGCCTGCCCAATTCTTAATGCTTAGGCATATTAAATGGGGATCCTTTCATTCTGAATCTGATTACCATGATAGATCATTGCATGTGAGATCAATCTAAGACTGAACTTATATCGGAGGATACAGCTCTAATTTTCTTTTAAACCTTTCACAATCACAGCTCAGTTATTTGTGGTTGCAACATGGCTGCCCAAAAAACTACTAGAGCAGTCAAGCCAATGTAAGCAGTCTTATTTTTTCTCAAATCATTTTGTGCAAAATGAAAAAAAATTGAAATCCACTCATCCATAGCTGAGAACTTCTTTTTTGTATTACACTGTAAAAGCACAACCTGGCAGTTCTGGTAATCTTAAATTTAAAAATTTGACCTTGAAAAGGGTTAATAAAAGAGTCAACTTCAGTTATAAAGCAGACTTTCCAAGTATTGGAATCAAACTTGGAACTACTGTCAGCTCATTTTTATTAAAGTATGCAGCTCAGCTAAATTTCAGATCACAGTTATTGCATCTTTATTTCAAAGTCTGAAACATACTTCAAGGCTTGAAATTCAATTTTCTTTGAAAATTTCCATTTTGTCTGACACAGTTGAAATATGTAGGGTTCCAGGCTATTATTTTAGGGCAGGATTTGGTCATTGGCTGATTGTACTCATGCTGATGGAATTTTTGAAAATGCAGGCCACTGCCATAGAAAACTAAATCATCTCCAAGATAAATATAAACTTTCTGCCTTGGGAGGATGAGAACACATCCTTGGAAGAAAGAGGTGAAGTCTGGCTTAGGTACTAGCCACCTAATTTAATTTATACACATATTTGTTCCTCTCTCTCTCTTATTTTTTATTTTTTGACATCAAAACTATCAGGGCAGAAACTTACCTGATGGACAATGATGCTAATGATCACCATCTACGAATATGTACCATACCTGCAGTCAATGCATTGACTGCATTGGCATATCCATACTTCTGCCTTTTGCATCAAACTCTACTGCCTCCATTAAAATGTTCTTGCAAGATAAGTAATTTCACTAAATTGATCATTCTTACCTTTGACAAGGGTAAAGCTTGGCTGGTCATTCCAATGTTAATTCGTCTGCTGATGACCTCAGAATTCCCGTGTTCACTCTCCACCACTTGGCCAACAACAGATTCATCTGCATCTTCACATTCTTCATCAATTTCTCCATATTCTTCCTCCTCATTTTCTTCATCTACTTCTTCCTCATCTTCTACTGACTTTTCAGAGACATCATCTTCTTCATCTTCCTCTTCTAGGTCATTTTTTGTTTCCTCTCCTTCCAGGTCTTCAACTACTCCCTCCAAATCTTCATGTTCATCACCTTTTTCATCCTCAAGTCCATCTTCTGGGGGTTCCTCCAGAACTTCTACACTCTCTCCCATCTCTTCTTGAAGATCTCCTACAAAAAAGATGGTGATGCATCACATATCATACCGAACTATTCAAATCTGGGTTTACTTTTGAGATATTTTATGCCATACCTTCTTCAATCCCAATTGCTTCTGGGTGCAGGTCCACTTCATTCGTGACATCATGGTCCTCACTATCACTTGACTGAGTTTGCACTTCCAGCATTTCATGGTCCATAGTAGCTTCTTGCTGTAAATCGCGTGGATCCTCTGAACCATTGGCACTGACAGAGGTAGCTTCATCATCCTGTCCTGGTGTATTAGATTCATCATCCAGTACTGGTGTGGCATCACCCTGGACATGCAGCACGGCCGGAGAGGACCCTCCTGAGCCCCGAGAATGAGAATCTTTTGTTGAGCGTCTCGATTTCTTTCTTGGGTGGAAGTCATAAGTGAGACCCTTGTAGGGCTTGCTCCTTCTCTTCCCTGACTTCATTCCACTGGTGGAATTGCGTGATGTGGCATCTCTCTCACTCGATCTGTGTCCTGAGTCTCGATCGCCATCAAGGTCTCCCTCCTTTTCTGTCGATGCACACTTTTTCAAGCCTTGGCTAAATTTTTTCCTCATTTGCTCTAATATCTCTGTTTTCACAGCTCCCAGGGATCCAGAGGGGCTAGCCATCGAACCCAGAAAAAAACAAGATGTGCCTATCAAGGCTTCCTTGACAGGCCAAGTCACCTTATTGGTTAGGAGACTTCCTGAAGGTAGCAAGCTCCCAAAAAAAATAGGTTTTCACCTGTTTGGAAAGATAATATGGTTATTATTGAATTAACCCAACTGCTCTCAGGGGTCTAATATTAGACCTGTGATAGGTATAGTTTAGGCTCCTAACCCTAAGTAACAAAACTATGACTTCAGAACAAATGAAAATATTTCGTTCCCAATCCAGGTTCAGCTTTCTATATGGAAAAGACACCCAGGGTGTGTATTTTGGCAATAAAACGGTACATGGACCAAGGGTCAACTTCAAATTTACAACCCAGGTTACCCTGTAAAGTTCCATGCATAAATATTTTTGTCAATTGAATTAGATGTCATCATTGAGAAACCTGTGTGTCCTGCAATGTTTTGGATGAGATGCCCTGTGCTATCCCTGGGTTTTATCTTGGGTTTTAAATTACAATGTTGTAATATCCCTCATTCTTGCAAATACATGCAAAGGTCACAATGAGCAAGTCAAAAGGAAGCCTCATAAACATTTATCAACAGGGTTGCACATGACATTTGGACTCAACTGACTGGTCTCAAAGGTGTACACCCCTCATGGTAAAGTGCAGTTATATAATATGCCTAACCCAATCATAGGCCTAAAATAATATAAGAGTAATAAGGAAATAGTGGGTATTAAAAAATATTGCATGTCGGGGTGGCACCATGCTTTCTGGGGTTAGAGTATTGCTTTTTGGTCCTGTAATAATTCCCCCCACTTGACAGAGCCCCTGAGTTCCTCTTTACTACTGGATAGACTCATAGGACTATCATCAAATCCAATGCCAAGGACTAACTTTACTAGTACCAAGGTCAACTATCCAGCATAAGTGGATGCATGCACAATGGAGCAGGAAAAAAATCACATTCCAATGAACTCATCTACTGGTAGTGCACTACAAAATTAAGTCCTGACCAAGATAATTTCTCATTCTGATTTGCATCTGTCATCCAAGATGAATACTTTCAGATGCAGTCTTTTCAACTCAGTTCTCTTATTGTTGCTAGAGTTATAAGCCTGGCATCCATGATTATTCAGTGGTACTGATGCCTTTAAAACTTCTCTCATGTGAATTTTCATCAAAGTTGTTTGGGATTACACTATCCATTAGAAAGCATTCTATGGAATTCATTAGAATAAAGTACGATATAAACCCGAGCACTTTAAGCATATTTAAAATAGGAAACTTGGGCTTACATGGGTTAAATATCACCTGTTTCACCAACTTGTACTAAAAGGACCATGTAAAAGCAGTGTCTGCAACTACAGCTACTTGAGTCGATTAATCCAACATTAGCCTCTGCCTAAGAATATTCATTTCTCGAGGATTGTAGTGTAGAACTACAATCCTTTTTTTTGTCTTACAAATGCTAGTCTACAGCTTACAGGAAATTCGGAAAGGCTTCGAGGACCGCAGTCGAGTTTTCACGAGTGATTGAGGTGTAACGTTAAGTTGATTCGTCCTGTTTCGAATAGATTTGAAGGAAATAAGTTCGTATGGGGGTACAACGTGAATCCGAATTCACCATAGGCGTAATAGGTGGCCTAAGCACAGGTGCTTACGCTCTCTCTCGACGCCTGTAGGCCTTAAATTGAACCTGTTATCAGCCGGCTTGCTATGTGGCGGAATCCATAATGCCAGAAGCAATGCGCGATGCGAGAGACATCTACCTGGGAGTACGGCTTCCCACTCCGCGATCTCCATCGAGGTCCACTCTCAACGCTCTCCTCGCTTGTCTCAGGGTTTTTCTACGATGACGGTCGGAAGCGATCCCGAGGTTCCGCTCGGGAGAGAAAATGTGCGGAGAACTCTGGGAGAAGAGAAGGGGAAATATTTTCTCGCTGGTGGAGACGGGTAAGGACGAAGCTTATATGTTGGTCGGAAATGGCTCGAAGGAAAACTCGGAAGGACCGAAGGAGCTCATTCTTGTTTCTCGGATGGCTGTGCGCGTTCTACGTCGTCTGCAGAGTGTAAAGGCTATCTATCGTTTCCTTCGCAAGCCCCTGGCTGTGGTGGATTCCAGATTATTGGGTTGGCAAGCAAGGCATCCGCTTTTGGATGACAGCCGCTGGATATTATATTTAAGAAAAACGCTAGAATTGTATGCCGAATCGACGAGGTTCCAGCTCACCTTCGTCTCGTTTTCGCTGCCAGTCAGACGGAGAAAATGCGACGAAACGAAGCTTGGCAAATGTGAAATGTTCCGCTAGGGATTTCTTCTGCTTCGTGTTTTCTTTTATTCTGGGCCTTATCCCGAGTTTTTCTTTCTTCCTTGAACTCGAAAGTTCGAGCATAGAGTAGAGAGTAAAACTAGAGGCTCCACTCCGCTCGAATCCCATTCATTGACACGGTCGCAATATAGATGTCACTGTCGATCCTCCACCTAGTTTGCGCACATCATCTCCTCCATGGCTGAGCAGCGGACTCAACGAGACACGTGTGTTACGTTGATGGATTCTTTGGGTCGATGCCTGATTCCGCTTCCGCGAAGCACGCCTCATAGAAGTGTTGTTGATAACAAGCCAACAGAAATCTCTAATATTTCGACCCACCCCCTACCCATCGGAGTGTCGCCTCTAGTTACACTCTAGAGTAGTATGGTTCCATGGTTCGAGCTCAGAAAATTTTGAATCTTCTCGATAAAATATCGCGGAACCCACTCGCTGCTTGGGGGCTCCCCGCCCCCGAACTGGATCCGTACGCGCTCGATTTTTTTTTTTAGAATGTAAAATGAGTAGCGGTGCAATCGAATGCGCCGAGGTAACTAATTGTAAATATTGAGCAGGCTTGTTAGACTATTACCTTGTCTCACAATTAGTCGATGAATTTCGCGGGTTGACTCAATGAGAACGCAATTCAAACTCCCGTCGCGTCATCATCTCCCGAAGCCACGAGAAACCCGCGACGGAATGCAGCGAAATGTGCTCTTTTTTGTTATGATTACTTTTTTCCCAATGCCCGCTCCCATGTTATACACGAATAGCTCACCAACACGTGGAATTCCCCGATCAGGAAAAAGAAAATTAGCATTGTGTAGGTGCTGTAATTTGTGATGTTAAACCTGAAAGTTGCTAGCAACAGTCAGTTGCTAGATACAGCATGCGCAAAGATCATACTGCGTGTGAATCAAAACAACGCTTGTTAATCGCAAACCTGAAAACGAAACCGAGAATATGTTTCGAGGCACAAGTTAAGTCCTGCGGATTTCATGATTGGGCGACAATTGCGACACCGTTTTAATTTTTTTTTTTTTGCCAACAGGCCGAGAAAAGAAAAACGTCTGACAACCTGATTTGGAGAGAGGGGAAACGGTATCGCATTTGACGCAGACTTGCCTGGAGGGGAAGTGGAGGGGGAGGAAAGGAAGGGGGATTCCAGAATTAAGGAGTCATCGCGAAACTCATTCTCTCAGTTCCCTCTCACGCTTCCAATATGCATTCAAGCCCCAACACTGGTTTTTCTCTGATTTCAATGGATTACTTATTTTTAAATAGCATAAATGGCAAAATAGCCATATAGGCTATAGCAGCGGTTCTCAAACTGTGGGTTGCAAAAGGGTCTAAGAGGGGTTGCGAAGCAGTCCCAGTGGGATTGGAGGTAATAAATTTATTTTCATTTACAGATTTCATGAAACCAGTCTAGCCATGTTTTCCGAGAGAAAATCTTCCTATTAATTTTTTTCATATTATAGCGAAAATAAACTCCGTTTGAGGAATAATCCAAAATTTCAAACTGTTGGGGAATACTTTGAGAAAATTATAGAGATTATGTACTGTTAATTTGCCGGGGATGCCTATGCCCAGTCCCAGCTGATGTGTATGACTTTCTTGTTTTTGGGGGGGATTTTTCAGAGAATAAATGACATTGCTCTAGTGATATAAGTGGGGCTTGAATGCATATTGGAAGTGTGAGAGGGAACGTAGAGAATGAGTTCCACGATGACTCCTTACATCTGGAATCCCCCTTCCTTTCCTCCCCTCCAGGCAAGTCTGCGTCAAATGCGACACCGTTTCCCCTCTCTCCAAATCTGGTTGTCAGACGTTTCTCTTTTCTTGGCTTGTTGGAAAAAAAAAAACGGTGTCGCAATTGTCGCCCAATCGATTTCATATCAGTTGTCTATTCGTTGGAAAGCCATTCGTTGTTCGTGAGCAGTCTTTTTAGGTTCACACTTCTTTTATGTGGCTTTGATCTCATTTTCCTCGATAAAAAGTACTGTAGGATGAGGTGACTTGGAATTAGCTTTTTTTGCTACCAATTTCTCCCATTGCTCACAAGCAAAAATTGAGATATAGAGTATGAAAATGATTCAACATCCAGTAGCATCAATTTGCATGCCAGAATCTGTTACAAGTTACCGCTTTATGGCACCGCTTTGTCTTAACAGACTGAGTTGTACTGTAGGTACCCTGGAGCTTAATCACTTATTTAAGTTGCAAAAGGTATATGTTCATGAAATTTGCCAGACTTTCCCCGGTCTCATTCCGTAGCTTCATCAGGCTGCCATAATCTCCACAGAATTTTCGTTTGTCCTACAGTCTAGTCAGGGCATGGATTCCTTGGCCAACTTTTTATTTATTAGGGCAAAAGAGAAAGAAAACACAAAACCAGTACTGAAAGACTCTGAAACCAGTACTGAAAGACTGAAGAAGTATAAATTATGCTTTACCAATTGCAACAAAACTGAAACAAACCTACTCGAGCTGAGGATTAAAACCACACTCAAGCAACAATGAAACCATGTTCTTGATAGGTTTACATAATGCCATGTGGTAAGAACTATGCTTGCCATGAGGAAGGAATGTAGGGGGGAGGAAAGGAGTTGAAATAAAGCCTGAATCTTGTGATGATTATATCATTAGCACAAGCACAACGGTTAGAAGTTCAGATCCGTTGAGCGCTGCTTCTGCTGGGCCTCAGTCCAAGCTTTCGCAATGGTACGCTTCATTTCATCATCCCCATCATCGTACATCTGCTTCATGAGCTTCATAATGCTGGAACTCGGGTCTTCATCCTCCTTGGGTTCGTATTTTGGGGCTTGAGGTTCTTTGGTTCTCTTCTCATCCATGGTGATGTATTTCCAGGTCTCAGTAGACATCTTGGCAAGGAACACCACCACTTGATCTGTAGGACAGACAAGAACATGAATGTGTAACTCAGAAAGCAAAACATTAACGGTTTTTCATTCTTGTTAATGGTAGTAGGAAAAAGTAGTTAGAATCAGACTTGCTAACCAGCTTGATTGGATTTTTCCCACAATTAACTTTTCACCACAAACCACAAGAATGCTTGAATGTGATGTGATAAGAGGCATGAAAAAAGACAGGTGACAGTCACATGACATGTTAGTTCAGAGAACCATTGGTCATCCCCTAAGGATAAGCAATTTTAGGGTGATCATGAACCCCTTGAGCCCTACAGCCAAAAACCAACATATTATAGATTGAATCTATAAAATGAACAAATGAAAACCTAGCAAAGTGCCAAAAAGTGGCAACATGCAAGAAAACTATATTATGAAAGGAAGCTTTTAAACAGTATGAGAAATGACAAGTTCTCATTTTATCACCCAAAATAAAAATTAACTTGCTACTACCCTTTCATTTCAGGAGAGGGCAAGAGTAGTGAATATGTACATAAAGTCTGTAAAGTCCAGAACTTGCCTTGCTTGACCTTCCAGTGACTTTTCTCTGGAACGATTTTGTTCAAAAGGTTCTTGAACGTCAGTGTGTAGTTCCTCTCACCCACTTCCTTTGCATCCAGCTGCATTGATCTGGAATAACATATATGGATCCACATAAATAATCACTGATAGTTGCTAGAAAGATAACCCAGAGAGGTAACATATATGGGACTGAGCAAAAGAAACTCCACTGTTTGACTTTAGCATAGATGAAACTCTAAACTGCTGATGGTTATTTTTTGTAGGCTCTCCATCATATGAACAGAGAAACAACTCAATATCATAATAAAATAATGCTAGCAGGCCTCACAGAAAGCAGTCAGAAAATGAAAAGCTAATATGAAGTGACTTTTTCAAATAAGTTTTTTTTTTACTATGGAATGTGGACAAAAATGCTACAAAATACAATGGTCTAAGAAGCCACCATAGTTGTATGGGTAAGAAACTTACCTCTCAGTGAAAACACATGTGACATTTTCATCAGGTACCTGATGAACATCTTTGAGGGATACATAGATCTTCACAAATTTGTCTGACTGATCCCAACCTGAAATAAGAACAAGGAATGCTTCATTTCAGCTGGAAAGCAAGTATAGATGATTTAGCCAGCCTGCCAAATTTAAAGGCAGCAACTTGGCAAAATCAAAATTGCACAAATGAAGGAGGCATCTACCATCTGAAGAGCAGCTTAGTTTTAGGTGAAAGAATGAAACAATTGCAACAAGAAGCAAGCACTGTCATCCTTGACTCATACTTTCAAGGTAATGGCCAGAAAATAGAAGTCATTCTGCAACAGTCCAAGGTCCATGCCTTGGAAGCTCAGGGAGGCATCACTACATTGACTATTTTCCTGAAATGCTAGAGACAATAACACTTCTTTTCTTTTGCCAAAGCCCCTGTGCCTACAGAGCTTTATCTGTTATGGTTCAGCACTATCAGAGATGTGCAAGCACATGGTTGCAGATCTGACTTATGCTCTTGCACCTTCATACACATTTCACACCATAGTAAACTCTACTGAACTGATTGAAACAAATGAGGAATCAATAAACTCCTCTTTACCTCAGAGTAAGCCTTTTTAGAGTTTTACTATTGCATTTTCATTAGGTAAGAAAGATCATTTCATGTTTAATTTCAGTGCTATCTTGAACTTCCCACACAGACAGTGGACAAGACTTCTAGGCATCCAATAGGAATAGCAACAAAAAGGCTTACTAACATTCCATCCAATATATCCACTAATGTCTACTGAACTTGAGTCTCCTGAATGATGGACCAAGTCACAAAAATTCAACAAATGAGGTACTATATAAATAAACTCATAATCATAACACCATCTCTATAGGAGGATGCAAGATGTGACCTAGCATTAGCAGTAATGAGANGCAAGATGTGACCTAGCATTAGCAGTAATGAGAAGAACAAACAGTGAAACAATGAAATTTCCTTCATTAAAGTGATCTGCCTGATCCTAGATGACTTATCCTAGCACATATATGTATATTTAGGTGATATGTAAAACTGATCACAGATAAAAAGTAATTAAAACTGAAAAATACTTAGAAGTGAAAAGTACACAAACTGCTCCGGAGCAAAAACTAATGGACTGATTTCAACAAGCGATATACCAATATAATATTGTCACCATAGTGATTCATGGAAGCACTAGAAAGTATTTTCAAAAAATTATTTAATTAATTTGCACAAATCAAGAGTGAATTAACTCTTAATTTGCACAAATCAAGAGTGAATTAACTCTTGATTTGTCTTAGCTTAAGGGTGTCTTCCAGGGCCATCAATGACTGACACCAGATATACTTGGTGTTTTATAAAGCATGTTCTACCATGGAGGCACATCTCTGCATAACATCCTACAAATAGAACACTAGGCATATCTGGGTTAACATGAACTGAAACTTCTAACAAGTTCTTACCAAACAAAAACCCATCAGGTAGACTTTTAGTAATATTTACTGGACCGATTCAGACAATTGAGGTATCGTTGGTATCATTCAACACATCACTTTAAGGGGTTTCTAATAGTGAAGAAGTACTGAAAGTGCTTATCACTGAAAGTTCAACAAGTGGCTTTATGGGAAAACCTACCCTTTGAGGGTAGGTTTTCAACCCTTTGAGTAGTAAGCCCATAAATATACATATTCAAAATTTTAATGAAATTTCAGATTCATGTTTCGTGTATATTACCCTTTTGGAGTTTGCTGCATTTTTTGCCTTTCACATACTACAATAGACAATATCTATCACATTTTGAACAAAAACATTCACAAAATTTATATTTGAAGGAACTCTGAATTTTTTTTAAAACATACTAGGAGCATAAAGAAAATTCATCACTCAAAGGGGTAAGACATGTGAGGAACCAGAAGCCAACTACACATTAACAATGTTTTTGCTATGGTTGCAAGTACTGAGATATTACTAGCAGTAAAGAAAGGCATCTATAACAAACAAAAAATGTCTACAGGATTGGCAACAAAGAAAACCACAAATTTTAACAAAAGAAGTACAAATGGGGACCATTGTTCATTTAGGTGTGTTACTTAGAGGACATTCTAAAATAGGCATCAATTTTTTTAATTAGATGAGATGGTAATATTAATTTTTAGAAAAAACTTCCTTAAACTTTATTCCTGATTCTTTGAGGGTATAAAACTCCACAGCTGAAAGAGAAACAAATCAAGAAATTAGAGCTCTACTGCTGAGAAAATTAAAGCAATTACTCCAGAGTCTCTGATAGAAATTATGAGCATTCAACATTTAGCACATACAATTTCCAAAGTACTTACAATAACAGTACCATACAAGCAAAAGAAAGCTTCAGCTTCAGGAAATGTAGGAGCTTCAGCTTCAGGAAATCACAAGGCATGAAGATTTAAAGGTTTAAAAACAAGAAAATTTGATGGCATCATCACACAAATAATGTTAAGAAAGCATCATCAATAATGCATGCTTCCAGGTACTGGTACATCATTACATGCTAATGTAGTAATCATCCATATGAAAAACTTTCCATATAAATTTCAAGTCATTCACTATCATCAGGTGCATGAAATGAGAAAGTCAATGTTTGACTTGGGGGAAATAGGCCTGTAAGTACATGAAAGGGTAGATTGAAACAACCCTGATCTCCAACCTTTTCTCCAACACAGATCCAATTCTGACACAATTCACTATGGTCTAAGCTAGTGCTAGGTAAGAGAACCCACTTCAAGAACATAAAGACAAGAATCTAGAAGGAAACATATCAAACTTGCCTGAAATAACAAATACCCACCATAATTGCTTAGCTTCACGGTGTAGATTCTCTGAGATGCACTAGCAGATCCTGCAGAACTACATGCTGGCACTGATGTCAATGATTCTTGAAGAGCTGAGTACTCAGTTTCTAACTTCCTTTTCTCAATCATAAGGATGTTCCTAATCCTGGTTCTCTTAGTCTCTTCCAGGAGTTTCTGGAGCTCATGAATATCTTCTGAGAGCTGTAATGGAAGGGTTTCATGTCAAGAACAACCTTGTGAATGAGCCATTGGGGTTAGGTTACATATGCAAGCTCATTCACATTGGCAAATGGCTTTAGGAGAGGATATATGTAACCTACATGGATCATAAGCTACTGATCAAGATTGGTAATACATTTCCAATTCTGACATGGACTGGTGCTGTTTATATGAAGCATACAACTTTTTTTCTCCAATCACCTAATTATATATATATCATAAACTAAATGAAAAAACATTATATTCTAGAATTTTTTTTCTTTGAAAACACACTGAATATTCTGCAAGAGGAAACAGGTATTATAGGCCTATGATGCCCTGTGATCTACATGAGAGTCTACTTTAACCTATTTTTTTCTCAATCGGTCTAGATAATGATCAGAAATGATAACAGTCAGGCCCAATTGTAGCCATAGTCATGTAATGAGAGAGTGGTGAGTTAAGAGGCTTGAATGCATGAGTGAAATTTATTATTGCTCAGGATATTCAGATACCAGCACGTCCTGATCTGTTCGGATGCGGTAATTGTCCTAGCAGACCAACCATTCAGGTTTAGGCAATCCTCATGCCTGAATAATACTGTAGCCTAGACCTAAGCGTTAATCAACGTCTAGCTTCAGACCCACAGGATAACCAAAGAGAACTACCAAAAATACCAAAATTGTGAACGCCAAGTCACTCACCTCCTTCAGTTTGTCGGACGACATATCTATTGGGCCTCCTCGGATGAAATCTGTAAGGTGCCAAAAAATTAGTTTGGTCTATTCTCGCCTACTCGAGCCTGAGCGTTTGATCCCCACGTTAGGACGACTAGCAAAGGTACATGAGGATCGCACGCTGCCTTCCAGAAACTTCCTTTGATTTTGCGACAGTGTTGTCGTCCTCACAGGCTCGTCATTGCCGTTTTATCCCGCTCGATGAGAGGCAGAATTTGAGACAAGGGAGCATGGTTTATATATATAATGGTTCTGGGTTTGAATTTCATTGTTGGAGGGTAGCACCACCTTGCATTACACTCTATGAATCCTTCACAAAGGGTTATTCCGGGAAAATTTCCAGCTTTCCGCGATAAATTCGCACGCCCCCACAAGGACGATGGCGCTACTAGCGTTTCGACTCGACCGACATCTACGGGATACCAGTTCGCGTGATTTGTGAGCCTGGAGGAAACGTTAGTTCCGCTCGCGCCTGCAGTCGCATAGAAAACGATTGCTTGCATTTTTTGCTCAGTGATTTTCGATTAATTCCATCCCCCTGCTGTGGCTTAAGCAAGAAGTAATCAACTTCCCACTTCAGTTACTGATTTAGCCAAGGGCAGTTATTTTGAGATAGCCAAGGTTTCTCAAGTAGCATGACATCTGCCCCCATTCAGAAACGGGCAGGGGGAAGCAATCGAAAAACGCCGGAAGCTTCACGCAAGGAGCTGAGACCTTCTCGACCGCGAGACAAAGCCCTAAAACTTAAAAGCTTTCCAAAGCTTATATTCGATTTGGAATCGCCAAGCCCGAGCCGGTTCCGAGAGAGCAACTGAGTTGACCTCAGTGTTACTTCTCTCTTAGTACAGCCGAAGTACTTCTCCCAGTAAAGCTGTCTCTGCACTGAGGAAAACGAAGGGAGAACCTTTTAGCATCAATTCTCTCAGATTTTCCCCAGTTATGGAACTGTAAGAAAGCAACAGACTGATCCATAAGCGCAGCGTGGATAGGAAAAGTGGGGGGTACAGGAACTTGGTAGCATGGGGTAGTGTTATCATGCATTTCATGGGTATTTCCCTTCTTTTTTTGGCTTCATTTCTTGAAAAAGTGGGGGGGGGGGGGCACATGCCGCCCTGGCCCCTAGATGCAACGCAGCTGGGTTTATTCAGAACTAGCAAATTTGTTTTCCCGAACTAGTTATGAACTAGTTACGAATAAAAAATAATAATTTCCGTTACAGCTCCCGCTACAACGGAAATTTATTTAGTATTGTACTTCAGTGACCCCCAAAAATTTTGACTACTTTGGGGGGTCAAGAGTAGTGAATCGGCCATATAAGTACTAAATATATACTAAATAAGGTACCCCGGGGGGGTCCGAATTTTGAGACGCCAACTAGCTTATGACCATCCCCGGAACAAATGAGGAAGCCATGCAAAGTTTGGTTGGACTGGGATCAGAGGCGTGGCCGTGCATAAAGGACAGACACACAAACACTCCGAAACATAATAGTATAGAATAGATATTAATAGATTTTTTCATGGCACATACTTTTTAATGTATTTCTTTTAAAGACTCTCTCTCTCCTACTATAGTTGGTCATAATTTGGCATGAACTAGAGTCAATACCAATACTTTCGATCGTCAAGAACCAATATATTCACAACACAATCTGCAAAAATAGCGCAGCCATTGACGAAATATATTGCATAGGCTTTTCACGTCCAGTGGTTTCGAGGGCCTACGAGCTCCCGCCTGTTCCTCGCCCCGTCGCTGCAAGCGAAATTTGAGAACAACACTGCAAGGGATCTGGCAACCCTCGTCCCGGGTCAGAGCCCGCTCGAGGGAGGCGGGAGGAGAGCGCAGTCCAGAGCGAGGCGTCACGCGTCGAGGTCGTGCGTGGGGCTCGGTGCCGACGGAAATAATGCTCTGGAATTTCGGAATGGGTTGTCCTGTTTGTCCCCCGGGAAATAAGATAAATGACAGGGGGTAGACGTGGTTCAACGCTCTTTTAACTCCGTTGAGTGAGGGGCTAGACCAGAGGGAACGGAATATTTTTAATTTTCAGGAGGGGAGTTTAAAGATTGAGGCGAGAGGTCGAATTGAAACCGTTTCTTGCAATGCTTCTAATATATCCTAGGAGCTGACAACCATAAGATTACCCTTCGATTTTCTTCGTTAGTGAATACTTTGACCCGAACTCTGGGTTGGCATCGGATCATGGGTCGATAAACTTCCTTATTGTATGTCATCTAGCGTTTAAATCTCTCTCAGAATCAATTTTCAGAAGAGAAAAAGCATTTTTAAATATCTATAGAGATGGTTTCATTCTGCAAAAAGACTGAAAGCCACTCAAATGCGTTCCATCCGCCTTGTCGGTGAGAAATACAGCAGAAAGGTATTTTTCTCTGCATCTCGTCCTATTTCCTCTTTCCTGCTCGCCAAAAGCCATCGAAAAGCCATCGGGAGAGAATTAATCCTCTCTTTGGTTGGCGACCCCAGGCGCAGCTGCCACCTATCGGCAGATCGTGGCAACACCGCCCCGTGCGGATAGATCGCCCGCCGTGCTCGAATGCGCTTCGGACTTCCAGCAGAAGGATGCGGAACAGGGAATATGGAATAATTTCGAAGACGGGTGGCGAATCTGCAGGGCGGTCCGAATTCAACGAGAAGTTCTCGGATCGTGAAAAAATGGGGAGGACGTTGTAATCGTGAAACGTCTTTTCGCGTTTGTTTTCGCCTCGGTTCGTGTGTCTTTCCTATAGTCCGATCGTTGATCTGCGAAGTTATGACGGTTGCCACAGACTGCACTCAAGAAGATTACGTCAAGATAGAGTACCAGATTAAACGATTCGAGGGGCCCGTCTCGACCAGACTCCACTCCTTCCCCCTTCCTCCACCATCACCTTCCACTCTCCTCCTTCCCCCACTCCCCCTTTCCCAACCGTCTCCGTCCGCTTCTCGCGGCTTTTTCGCAACGAGCAACGAGAGTGTGAAAAATGTCGCAACCAAAACGAACGCAGTGTTTCAAAATAGGGAAACGTCACACAATCTCCAGATCTCTTGCTCGACCGTTCTCGACAGAGATCACTCCAACTTTAGTTTCTCTTCGAGTTTTTCTCAGCTGCAAAACCCATGCTCCCCTCGCTCAAACCGCGCACCCCCGTGCACAGTTAGCGGCTTCACCGCGTCGCTGACCCGAGATCAATCTCGGACCAGGCCCCCCTCCGCGAAAGAGCATCCCAGCAGAACACAGACGGAAGAACCGAATCCTCAAACGGGGATGAAAATCACCGCGATCCCGCGTCCTCCATCTCACCCGCGACGA